ACCAATCCCTGAATGTGTGAAAGGCATGTGTGAAAAATGAGCCTCTGCCTTCTCATCTCTTTGTGAATTGTCCAAGGTGGCTTTTTAAGTGCTGGGAGGCTGCCAATATCCCCTGTCCCTCTTCTGTCAACACCAGACCACAGCCAGTAGGACAGCAGGGGTTAGGAACTCAGTAGCCCAGTACTCCCCAGCTGTGTGACTTTGAACAAGTTATTTAACCCCGCTGGGCCTCTGTTGCCTGATCTGCGAAACAAAGATAATCGCTTCCACCGCCAATGGGTGTGGGAGCAGTAAATGCTCCCGGAGCTCACTAGGCCTGGGACGCAAAATCTGAAGAGGGCAGCTGGAGATGCACCGGCTGGGGGGGCATGCGTTGGCCAGCCCAAAGGAACAAAGCAAGCCAGGCCACATGCTTCTACGTGCCCCTAAAGCCCTCACTGCCTGGCCAGAGAAGACACATCCGCTCGAAATATCCGCCAAGCCAAGTATAATTAGGAAGAAGCGTCTGTGACAGGAAAAATCAAGTGTGTATGGGGGTGACATTCCAAGACCAGATTGGGAGAAGTTTGTGATTATCTGTGAAGGAAGGCAAAGTCCTGTTGTAATTTTAATGAAGGTAGTTTTTATTCACCTTAAACAGGGTAGATAATTGGCTTACTGTAGCTCTGCCTCATTTCCCTGTCAGTGCTGGGGAAGGAGGTGTTTCAAAGTGGGTTTTCTAGATAACTGAAGCTCATCCCTGTGAACCCTAACATTTTTTCATTTAATCACTCTGAGAGGAAAGTTATACGGAATGGGTTACACACTTCTCTGCTTCCTTAATCAGAATGTTCCCTAAACTGAATGTAACCTCTTGCTGTCAATTTGGATATGAGGGACTACTTGTTTCTAAATTTATGGCCCTGAGTTGCTTTGCTTTTTAAGTCTACAAATGTTTTTCTGCTTACTTGCATGGTTTCCTACTGTGACATAAAACTCTTTCTGCATATTTTTAGGAGTCCTGTAAAACACAAATGCACACAAGCAGACACATACATCCACATGTGTGTACACACACACTCACACTGAGAACCCAGATGGTCAGGATTCATAAAACTGTGTTTGCACGAGCTTCCCCAGTGCCCCCATGGCCCTTAGTATTGAACTTACACAGCGCACCATAAACGCTGCTCCAGTGTTCTTGTCCCCATGAGAGCATACACTCCAAAAGGGCGCGACACCTCTGGCATTAGTAGGTGGTTGGCAAATGTTTGTTGCCAAGCAGAAGAATGGAAACACCAAGTGTTAGTGTGCCAGGCAGTGGTAAGTGAATGGGTTTCAGATGCCTTCCAGCATGTCCCTTAGGTGCCTCAGACTCAATGACCAAAGCTAACTTCATTCTCTGTCCCCAGTATTTGCTGTTCCCCTTGTGTTTGTCATAAAGAGTGTAGCACCAATATCCACCATTTTCGGTGGTGGAGCAATCTGGAGCCAGACACCTGGACCTGCCCTTGACTATAACCTTGGGCAATCACTCTCTCTCTGACCCTTTATTTCCCCATCTGTAAAATGAGGAATAATAGTTTTAGATGTCACAAGTTAGCATTTAAAATGTGGTTGCCACTATTATTACAACAGAGTCACATCATATGTACTTTCAATGTATGGGAATTCAGCTGTGTTCTTGGCAACAAAAACAGAGAGAGAAATGATACTGGAGGCGATCCTGCTAGCTTTTCCACTCATGAGTATGACCCAGAGAGGGTGAGGTTGGAGATGCCAATCGGTGCTCAGTCACTGTCTGTCCTGTGAGCCTGTTTCAGTGTGAATGAGATTGTTCCAATATAGACTTGATTTTTTTAATTGAAATTTAATTGACATATAACATTAGTTTTAGGTGTGTAATATGATTTGACATTTTTATATATTGCGAAATGATCACCACAATGAATCTAGTTACCATCCATCACCACACGTAGTTACAAATACTTTTTGTTGTGATGAGAATTTTTAAGATCTACTCTCTTAGCAACTTTCAAGTATTATTAACCATAGTCACCATGCTGTACATTACATCCCCAGGACTCACTTATTTTATAACTGGTAGTTCATACCTTTTGATCCTCGTCAGCTATTTCACCCACTCCTCATTCCCCACCTCTGGCAACCACCAATCTGTTCTTTGTATCTATGTGTTGGGTTTTTGTTTGTTTGTTTTTTAGATTCCACATGTAAGTGAGATCATATTTGTCTTTCTTTAACTTAATTTCACTTAGCATAATGCCCTCATGCTCCATCCATGTTGTCACAAATGGCAAGAGTCCTTTCTTTTGGGGGGCCAAATAATATTTCATTGCTTTTATATGCCATTTTCCTTCTCCATTCATCTATTAATGGACACCTAGGTTGCTTCCGTGTCTTAGCTTTGTAAATAATGCTGCAGTGAGCATGTGTAAGGGTGGGTATATATCTTTTCCTGTTGGCATTTTATTTTCTTTGGATAACTACCCAGAGGTGGAATTGCTAAATCATGTGATAGTCCTGTTGTTTATTTTTTGAGAAACCTCCACAGTGGCTGCACCAATTCACATACCAACCAACAGTGCACGAGGGCTACCTTTCCACGTGGCTGTTGGCCCTCTCTATGTCTTCTTTGGAAAATGTCTATTCAGGTCCTCTGCCCATTTTTTAATTGGGTTGTTTGGGGTTTTTTGCTATTGAGTTGCATGAATCCTTTATATATTTTGGATTTTAACCCTTTGTCAAATATGATTTGCAAATATTTTATCCCGTTTGATAGGTTGCTTTTTCATTTTGTTAATGGTTTCCTTGGCTGTACTAAAAGCTTTTTATTTGTAGTAGTCCCACTTGTTTATTCTTGCTTTTGTGGCCTTTGTTTTTGGTGTCAAATTAAAAATTCATTGCCAAACCAATGTCAAGGAGCTTATGGCCTATGTTTCTTCTAGGAATTTTATGGTTTGGGGTCTTACATTCAAGTCTTTAATCCATTTTGAGTTTATTTTTGTTTGGTGTAAATAGATGTCTCTTTTCATTCTTTTGCATGTGGCTGTCCAGCTTTCCCAACACCATTTGTTGAAGAGACTGTCTTTTCCCTATTTATATTCTTGTCTCCTTCGTCATAAATTAACTGACTGTATATGTGTGAGTTTATTTCTGGAATGTCTGTTCTGCTCCATTGATCTATGTGTCTGTATTGAGTACCATACTGTTTTAATTACTACAGCTTTTAATATAGTTTGAAATCAGGAAGAGTGATGCCTTCAGCTTTGTCGTTCCTTCTCGAGGTTGCTTTGGCTATTGGATTTGATTTTTGCCTCACTCATGATAGTGCCAGGTGGAAAACTCAGGTGAGGCTCATTCATAATTTGGTGGCTCTGTTTGCATGTGTGAATATTCGGGGCATAGATGACGAAGGGATGAAGCAAGATAGGGTGATTGGGATTCTGGGCCTAGGGTGGTTCCACCTACTCAGGCGTGATGAACAGCCTCCAAGACACCGACGCAGGTCAGCAAGTGGGAGGTACATGCAGGGAAACTGGTGCGGCTGATGGAGTGACTCTTCCGTCTACCCGTTTGTCCCCAAAGATCCCGTGTGCTCACTGACCTCACTAGAACCTTGTGTTCCTGTACATACCCAACACTCAAATGTCACCATCTCCTTGCTCACACTGAGCCTGCCCCGATGACACCTTCCCAGTCCCTCTCACCTGCCCCTTTCCCTCTCCGAGGCTCTAAACCCCAGAATCACTGGGGCACAAAGGTTAACTGGTCATCTCCTTGCCTTCAGGCAGTAGGGTGACTGACCGTTCCAGTTTTCCCAGGACTGAGGGATTTCTCAGAACACAGGACTCTCAGCGCTGAGGCAGGGACAGTTGGTCACCATGATAGACTGATGAGGGAGCCAGCCCATTCAGATGCCCTTTCTTTGAGGAAGTCTTGCCTGATCTCCTTAGCTGGGAACAATCTTTGTCTCCGTTGAACTTCTGGAGCACTATTTGTGCCTAGACACACCTAGACTCCACATCCACCCCTACTCCAGGATTCAAGTGAATGAGGCTGTAGTTTGAGGGCATCTTGTTGTTATGTGTCCTGTATGTACCAGGGGTGGGTCGGAGTGGGAGGTGGCGACCAGCTGGGTGACCTCCTGGGGCTCTGCCGTTCAGCCCCTTTCCATAGCTATGGAGTGTGAATTTCTGCACATTCACAAAAGCGGGCTGAGATATCACTCTTTGAAACATTTAATTACATATAAAGATCGTGAAGGCTGTCTGTCACCTTCCAGGGAACATTTCTTTTTCCTGCTCCTTCTGAAGTTGGCTGCTTGGAAAGTAATGAAATCGAACTGAAGAAAAGCGACGGGGGTGGGGGGCGGGGAGCATAGGTGTTACTGAAAGGGAGAAGCCACGGAGAGGGGAATGGGAAGGGGGACGGGGAGATGGAGCCAGGGGAGGCCACGGAGGGTGAAGACATATTCACGGGGAGCGAGGGGCAAGCGGTGAGGACACTGATGAGTTTGGGGAAGAGAGGGAAAGTGGCAGGAAAGATGGAGAAATGGGGGCTGGGCTGGGGAGGCACCAAGAAGGGAGACAGGGCTGCAGAAAAGAGGGGTGGCAGACCCAAAGAGAGAGGGCCTGGCTGAGAGGAGCAGAGACAGCCAACCTAGAGGAGGTTAGGAAGGGCGGAGAGAGGTAAACAGCTTGAGGGTCCAGATCCCCAGCACAGGAGAGGGCCTTTGGGAAGGCATTGGTTGGAATGGAATGGCCCTGACTGGGACTTGTATTGAGGAAACAAGCGTCTTAGCTGGTGTGATTATTGGGTGACTTGGCGAATTGGTGGTGGAGGTTCTGAGGTGCCGAGCCTTCCACCCAGACTCCCCTTCCTGCCTCCTATTCAGGGGAGAGGTGCAGAGATGGGAAGAGCACCTGGCCTTCGGTTCCTGGCCCCACCCCGAGGGGAGACCATGGGGGTCCCACAGTCCTGATTCGGCTCCTCTCTTGCAGGCTGCGACAGCGACCACTGGGGCCCGCACTGCAGCAACCGGTGCCAGTGCCAGAACGGGGCCCTGTGCAACCCCATCACGGGTGCTTGCGTGTGTGCTGCTGGCTTCCGGGGCTGGCGCTGTGAGGAGCTCTGCGCGCCTGGGACCCATGGCAAGGGCTGCCAGCTGCCATGCCAGTGCCGCCATGGCGCCAGCTGCGACCCCCGCACGGGCGAGTGCCTCTGCGCCCCGGGCTACACCGGAGTCTAGTGAGTAAAACTGGTGGGGTGCTCAGGGGGCAGGCAGGGGTGGCCAGCTGCCCTCTTGGCAGCTGCCACCAGCTCCTTGCTAACAGGCAGGGTGGTGGGAACAGATGGAAGGTCAGGATAGTCCTGGTTGCAAAACCTCCCGCACTCTGACCCCAAGTCCTGCAGAGGCTCGAGCACCCAGGCCTCACCCATGCAGGTCTCAGATCCCGCCATCCACCCTGGGGCAATGGGCGCAAGTGAATATTAGCGCAGATGGGCGCCACCATGGCCAGAGGAACACGTTAAACTCCTCCAGAGGAGGCCTTTCCTGGTCGGAGCCCTACGCCTCAGCATGGAAGTCTCCTCTGATCATAACCCAAATGCTGCCGTTTACCTAGGGCCTGACTCTTCTGGGCCACTTGAGGTGGGGGTGAGGCCCTGGCAGATGTCATGCACAGATTTGGGGAATTCACTGAGCCTGTTCTTCTCCTTACCTTCTCCACTCAGACTCCAAACAGTCCTGCATTCCTGTTCCCTGGATGGTCTGTATTGACAGGGGACCTCAAAATCTGCTTAGTTGAGACCCCCCCAGAGACAAGATCAAAGTCCTCCCCAACCTGCTGAAGGTCCAGTGGCCTCCCAACAGCCTGAGATCCAGAGAGGCCACCCGAGGACTTCGGCCATAGACACATTATTGAATGAAGGTGTTCCCACCCTGATGTCTGGGCAGCTCCAGCTAGAGGCCAGGGCCACTGGAAGAAGGTCCAAGGCCAAGACTCTATGCAATTTCTCCCCCCACCTCCACCCTGCCGGTCCCTGCACATGAGCCTGCCAGGGTAACTGAGAGCCTTCCAGAGTCTGGAAGTGGGGCATGCCCCCGATATTCCCTCTCTCTGAATCTAGGCAAATACTTAAGGCCAGATCAATGGCCACTTTGCAGTGCCTTTGCATGTGCTGTTCCTTCTGCCGGTGTGCTCTTCCCATTTTCCTGCTAAAACTAACTTATTCTTCAAGACCCAAGCAAAATGTCTCCCTCTTAGGAAAGCCTTTCTCAGCCTTCCTTCCCCAGAAGAACACACTTCTTTACATTTAAGTCATCCTCAGGTACTGACCCAGCACACAACATTCCAGTTTATTATAGCTGAGCCCTGCTTCCCCCTCCTGGCAGGAAGCAGGACTACATCTCGGCCAACCTTGTGCCTAATACAGTTCACATTGGCTGTAAACCCGCTAACACCCAGGGAGCCCTAGAGTGCTGGGAGCGACAGCCCTGGGGCCCTGCCACCTGACCCAAATGCTGCTGTGTCTAATGCCTCTGCTTCCCACGCAGCTGTGAGGAGCTGTGCCCACCTGGAAGCCACGGGGCTCACTGTGAGCTGCGCTGCCCCTGCCAGAACGGGGGCACCTGCCACCACATCACTGGCGAGTGTGCCTGCCCCCCAGGTTGGACGGTAGGTGGACCCACAGGGTCTGGGTGGGGTACTGGAAGGGGCCGGTACAGTCCTCACCAGCATGCACCTTGGAGGGCTAAATTCCTCTCCCACCCTGAACACCTTCTCGCCTATCTATGGGCACGGGCATCACTCGACCCTGCCAGTGGTACCACGGATGCAGCTTTGAATCCCAGGTCTGCCATCTAAGTGCTGTGCAACCTGATGGAAAGTTACTTAACTTCCCTGAGCCTGTGGTCCCTCGTGTGCAAAGGAGTTGAATTCTTCTCATAGACTGGCTCTTCCCTTGGGCCTAGGTACTCACTTGAGCTGCCACGGGCTGTGGGCCAGGTGTGGCAGAAAGGGCGTAGTGTAAGGGTGGGGAGACGGCAGAGTACGGGTCACCTAAGTCTACAGAACTCCGGGTTCCCAGCCTCTACCCCCTGCAGTCACCACACACTCTGATGCCATGGGCCCTACCACCATGTGTTTTTAACATGTGCTCCTGGTGATTCTGATAGGGACTCACCCAATCCACATCTTGTGTCGGAAACCACCATTGGGGGAAAGGAGGATGGAACCCATAACTTCATAGGCCTAAATTCAGGTCTCTTGTCCAATGTTGACCCTGAAAAAGCCTCAAGTACTCTGATCTCCACTTCCCCGTCTGTAAGCAGTAGTGAGTCCCCACCCTGTGAGCTGCCCCAGTCGGCAGAAGGCTCAGAGGAGGCAGTGCCTTGCACTCTCAAGTCCTCTGTTTTATATCCCTGCTTCCCATACACGGCCCACAAGCCTCCTTTTATCCAGCTCACTCCAGCTCAGAAGCAGTGAGTGAGTCTCTAGGGCTGACTGTCCGGGGCTGTGTCCCTGCCTCTGACCCCCTGTTGCACACCTCCTTTGGGAGGAAGCTCAGTGGCAGGGCCGGCTGCCTCCCCTGGGGCCTGAGGCTTTGCAGAGCCAGAGGAGACAGGGCCGCTGAGCAAAAGCGGGGTATTTCGGGAGGCTGTGAACACTGAGGTCATGGGGGGCAGGCAGGAGGAATGCCTGAATTTGCCAGAATTTTGTAGAGCAATCATCTGGTCCAGCAGCATCCAGACCCGGTTGTCCACCAGAGTCGCAGGGCAGGGGATGGGGGGAGTTGTTCATACAGAGTCCCAGGCTCCACCAGAGACATTCTGGGGCCCAGGACCTCTATTTTTGATTAAGTCCCCCAGATTATTCTGAGGCAGCCAACCTTGTCTGCAGGTCTGCATTTTAGAAATAACTGATCGATACCATAGGATTTCCTTCTGTGTTTTACAGACCCACACCTGTTCTAGGGTTTCTTGGAGGGGAGCGGAGGGGAGGGGAGCCTAATAATTAGGGCTCTGGCTCCCACACATTCCAACTTCTCCATTTTAATCTACTTCCTCTATTGAGGTTTTAAGTAATATTTCACATAAAGCTAGGGCCTCCCAGCTTTAAGATGTTTGAACACCACTGGTCTATTGATGCCCTTTCTCAGATGAGGAAGCTGAGGCCCAGAGGGACTGAGTGACCTGCCCAGGGCCACACTGCTGCTACAGAAGGAGGGGGAGCTGGAAACTAGGGCTCCTGACTCCCAGCCCTTGGTGTCTGTTTGTCTGTCTCTTCTGAGAAGAACAAGGGGGCTGCAGTTGCCTTGCCCACACCTGTCCTTTTTAAACCCACCACAAACCATTCTGTGGACAGGCCCTCTCATGTCCAGCCCGCTTCTGGAATTCCACCACCCACAGTCTGGGGCCTGGAGGCCCGGCAGCAGGCAGTCCAGTGGATCAGGATGTGGTGCAGGAGATTCTGTCAATAGAAGCCTTTGAATTTGGGGACTTTATGTTTTTAATTTTATTGTAGACAATTGTGTTTCTATTTTCGACACAGCATTTAACTTGCAGATTTGTATGAATTATTAATATCCCTGTGCATGAAGAGTCACAGTGTAACAAATCTGCAGTTCAGGAGTGAAGCCCCTCCTCGGGGAGAGGGTGCCGGGCAGAAGGGGCCTCCCTCTACCATCCTCTAATGCCTCACCTTCCCGTCAGCCCCAAGTAGCTTTAACCATACTCAGAGATCCAAAGAATACGATCGCTAACTCCCTCACATTGTGCGGCTCCCTGAAGGACTGGGCGTGTACGGAGCTGGCAGGACTGGCCGTGTACAGAGCTGGTGAGGAGCCACCAGGAACGCTGGCCCTCCAGGCCTCACCACAGAGACTCCCGGGCAGCAGGTCCTGAGCATGCCCACGGGACATTCTACTGGCCCAGCTGTCACGAGCCTGTTCCAGGAAGGCCTTTGCAGAGACCCTGCGGAATTAATTACTTCCTCTCTTTTGTCTGGGCTCTAAGACCTGGCAGACAAGGGAAATCAGGTGTGAGTAGCTGATGAAAGTGGGTGGTGCAGACAGATGGGGAAGTGTGAGGAGCTGTGATCAGCCCTGTTTAGGAATTCCCAGTCTGACAGTGCAGGCCGGATATAGCATTTGTGTACACACACACACACACACACGCACACGCACACACACACGCACGCACAACAATGGGCCTACAGAGAGACAGAGCTCAGGGGCTGGGAAATAGGACCAGTTTTCATGAAGGGCCAGAAAGAGGTATTTGTCGCTGAGGCTGGGTAATCAGAGCCACTTAGGTTTGGGAAGGTGATTCATGGAGCCTGGCGCCCTGGCCTGTGGCCGGGATCATTCCCACAGCGTCCACACCAGTCACTCTTCACTGCACGTTAGGGGCGTCCATGCCGCCTGGGACAGCAGTGATCATAGAAATGCCTTCAGATGCTTGGAGAGGCTGAGCTGTCTCCTCTCCAGGAGAAACGGCCCTGAGACCCTTCACCATTTTGGCCTTCTCCTTTTTTATGCTCCATTTAGCCACAGTCCTCCTAAGGAGCAGCTGGTTTCCAGAGTTTGACAAATCGGTTTAACTAGTTCTGAGAGGAGCAGGACTATTGTCTCACTTCATCTCCAACCTTCTAGATGCCACACAGGCCGAGATCCCACTGCAATTAGAGACTTGCCCTCACTTGGCTATAGGGGAAGTGTGGTAGTCTGCTCGGACTGTCTTTAACAAAGTAGCACAGCCGGGGAGACTTAAACAACAGAAATTTATTTTCTCACAGCTCTGGAGGCTGGAATCCACGAGCGAGGTGTCACAGGGTGGGCTCCTCCTGAGGCCCTCTTCTCCCTGGGTCCTCGCCCGCCTTCCCTCTGGGCGTGTCTGTGTCCGATCGCCTCTATACGGACACCAGTCCTGTTGCACTAGCGCCCGCTGTATGACCTCATTTTAATTTTTTTACCTCTGTAAAGGCGCTACCTCCAAATACAGTTATACTCTGAGTGCTGAGGGTTGGGATGTATGAAGCTGGGGGGACACAATTCAGCCAACAGCAGGAGAAAAACCATAAGGCCACTGTGATTCCCACTCATCCAACACCAAATGCGAAGGGGCCGTCTTTTCCTTCTGCATATATGTAGCGGTAATAGTCATGTAACTCCATTCGGGTTCCTGGATCTGATTCCAATGTGTGTAAGTGTGTGGGACAGGGTCTTCTCACACATGCTTACACCAAGCAATTCTCGAACACCAGCAGGGTGTCCGAGAACTCAACTCAGTTCTGACACTATCTGCCTGGAGACAACACAAGACTCCCCAGGTTAAGGGCTCCGTCCTACAAGACTGCCCCCACCCCCCACTCCAGATGCCGGTCGGTTGCAAGCGCCAGGCAGCTCTCTGTGCCTTTGACCTACTGACCTACCGGCTGCAGAGTGGAGGTTCCCACGACCTCCCCCTTAGGTTTGATTAATTTGCTAGAGTGGCTCCCAGAACTCAGGAAAACACTTACCTTTACCAGATTAATAAAGGATACTGCAAAGGGTACAAGTTAGCAGCCAGATGAAGAGAGACACAGGGCAAGGTCCCAAATAAAGGAGCTTCTCTCCTCGTGGAGCTTGAGGCCTGGCTCGGTGGCACGGCGAGGCATTCTGGTTCCCCAAGAAGCTCTCTCCGACCAGGAAGCAGGATCCAGTCGAGCTGAACACAGCAGAGCAGAGGGAGCAAAAGGCTTTCCTCAGGGGTGTGCATGGGGGCTTCACTGCTTAGTCATGACTGGCTAGAATAGTGGCCCCTGGCTGATTCAGCCTCCAGCCCCTGCCCTTGGGTGGGGGGGGTCCAAAAGTCTCTCAGGAACATGACAAAACACCCGTTTGATCTTTAAGGCTTGCAGTGTTTACAGGAACTGTGGATGAAGACCAGATATGCCTGGGAAATACATGGTCATCTGAATGACCAAATAAGTATTTCTCGTAACTCATTCTATCGCACCTCTCTTAAGCTGACGCCTTCCTGCCTGCTCTCTCCCAAAGGCTGTTTCCCACCAGCAGCAGTTGATCAGTCATGTGGTTCCCTTCCACTCTCCTCAGCCCCAGCTCATCCTGGGCGCCTCCCACACGCCGTGTCATCAGGTTTGACTCAGCGTTGAGTGAAGGTCAATGACAGGCTTGCTCTTTAAGGGGCTGCACTTGGTTCCTTCACATCTCAAATCTCAATCTTCACAGCCACCTCGGAGACCCGGGTTTCTTCTCCCATTTTACAGATACAGAAATGGAGGCTCAGCACGATCATATGACTTTTCCCAGCTCAGCTTCCTGGGAGGAGGCAGAGTGGGGATTTGAGCCCAATGCCGACTGAGTCTGGGTTCTTTCTACCACCCCAGGCCCAAGCCTACCAAGGTATCCAGTTCCTGCAGGCCCTGCAAGTAGAAGCCCACGGAGTGGTCCAACGATTCAGGGACCTGGGGGTGCCTGCAGCTGGGAAATACTGAGCAGGGGCTTAAAGGGACACTTGCCCACCTGTCCAGAAAGTCTCAAGGATGCTTGATTTCCCAATCTGTGCACCAGACTTTCCTCCTGGCCCCCCTGGTCATGTCTCAGAAGCTCTGAAGAGCAGTGGAATCTGCAGCCTAGCAGGAGGGTTGTGTGTATGTGTGTGTGAGCGCAGCAGAGCCCCACACTGCTCTGTGATGGGGAGGTAGGAGGTATAAGCACAGCCACCCACAATGGCCCAAAACATTTTTTCCGGGTTAGTGTGTCCTTGTCCAGCCCAGGACTGCAGAGGACTGGTTCAGTGAGTGACCAGAAAGACTCCTCTCTTCCCACAAGAATCCCTAGAGCTTGTGGATGCAGAGAGAAAGGCAGGCCCCTGTGGGGTACCCACCCCCCCACCTCCAGGAGGGGGAGGGACTCCCCTCTCTGGCCTTTCTGGGCCCTCTCCTCCAAGTACATGCCTCTCTCTGTCCACAGCTGCCGCCTCTGCCCCCTCAATCCTCCCTTCAATGCCTCACCCCCAGCCCTTCCCTGGCTGACTCCTGTGTGGAGGAGAAATCTGAGCCACGAAGGCCCCCCACTTAATTCATTACTAGTAAATTGAATGATATTGAAAGATGACTCAGGCCTGGAAGGATTTTCCTGACTAAACTAGCTTCCTTGGGGTTGGCAATTACCAATGCTTAATAATTGTTTGTTGAACTAATTGATTAATTGTGGGAGAATCCTTGATTTCCATAAGAGAAATAACTGTAGCCGGAGATAAGAGCAGGTTCAGATTTCTGTTCAGCAAAGACCTAAGGTTCATGCGTGTAATTCTTAAAGTTATCTGATCCCACAAGGCTGATACTGGAGGGAGAGGAAAAGTAGTCCCCTGCCCCACTGACAAATCCCACCCCCAAATGGCAACCACATTCAACTCTTTTAGGCAGTCATTCCGGCCTCGCCCTGTATAGTTCCCCGTAACAGGCTTTACTGCCATTTCCTGACTTTTTGTAGACATTGTTGAGCCCATTGACCTCTTACTGTGGAATGAGATTCAGCTCTAGGATTGCAAACAAAAGCGGCCCCTCCCTCCCTCTCAGAGGAGCTTTATCACAATTATTGATTAAATCATTTTTAATGTTTATGTCAGTATGCCCACATATGTATTGTAACTATTCCTAAAACTGATAGAACTCAAAAATGCATCTCAATAAGGTCGGATTCATCAGAAATCTCTCAGTCTGGTTTTTGTTGCCGTCTCTTGAGCTGCCCTTGCAAAGCTCCGCGCGCTTCTGTTCGTGCTGTTCCCTTGTCATTCTCAGACTTCCTTCCGCTGATGCCCTGTGACCCCTCTTCCCTCTCTCTGTTGGATTCTCCATATCCAAGAGCCCATGCCTTGACTTTTTTTTTCTTGGATAATTTTTGTTGATGAAAAAAATCTGTTGTAGCTTCCTGAGAAAATTCACGGAAAGTTCGTTTTTTGAGGCTGTTCAAATCTGAAAAGGTCTTTATTGAATCCTGGTTTAGTTAGGTATAGAGTTCTAGGTTAGAAATGATTTCCCTCCAAATTTTTAAGGCACTGCTCCATTGTCTTCTAGCTTCTAGTTAAGAAGTCGAATACCTTTAGACTTCTTAACTAATATGAATGTGACTAATATGAATAACAAAAGAATATGACTTCCGAAAAACTCTGAGGGTCATTTCTTTATGCCTAGAGTTATAAAAATTTACAATGATAAGCCTTAATGTGCATGTTTTTTCCCTTCTTGTGCTGGGTCCTCTATACGCCCTTTCAAGTCAAAGATAGTGCTTACCATCTTTCCATTCTTGGGAATTTTCTTGTACTATATTTCTTGTATATAATTTATACACCTCCAATTTCTCTGTTCTACTGTCTGGAACCCCTGTTAATTAGCTGTCAGACCTCCTAGATAGATCCATTTTTATTATGTTTTCTGTAATGTTTTCGCATTTCATTCATTCCCCCCAACCACTGGTCTCTCTCCCTCTCTCATTCTGCTTTGTGGGAGATTTCCTTATCTTTCAGCTTTTCTATTGCAATTTTCAAAATTTCTGCCATCTTATTTTTAATTTTCAAGAACTCTTTACTGTTCTCTGAATATTCCCTTTCCTAGCACTCTGTTCTTTTGTGGATACGTTTTCATATACCTACCTATAGATATTCATTGTAATTATAATAGAGGTTTTTTCATTCTCTTTCATAAAGTTTTCTTTGCTCCCTGCATAAGTCCTGGTTCCTCTCTGCTTAGGTCTTCATCTTTCATGTGAGAGCTTTATTTAAAATATCTGGTGATCCTTGGCCACCTGTTCATGTTTTACTGAGAACTGGCTGGAAGCCTGGGGTTACGGAAAGATGCCAGGCTTGTTGCTTGATGGGATCCTCAAATATCAGTATCTGTAGGTCCTTCCTTTTGAGCTCACTAGTGTCCCCAAAAAGGAATTCCCCCCAAAATCCTCCCAGAGGGAGTATAGTCTGGTGATCAGCAGTCTGGGAGCTGAGCAGAGAAAGATCGCAGAAGGTCTGATCATTCAGCAAAGTTCCACATGGTCCCGATTTCTCAGAGCAACCCCAACCCCAGCTGTGCTTGGTATTCCTGTGTCCAAAGCCTCCGGGGCAACCTCTCCAAAAGTAAACTGCCAGTCTTTTACCAGACTTGGGAAGTCACCTGGCCATTTGAAGTGGGGTCTAATTCCCTCTTTTATAAAATTCCACACCGCCCTCCAGTTTCACTACACCTGCTCCTTGGCCTCCAGGGGTTCCTAATGCCTCTGATTCCTGAGCTTGTTTGAGATTACAGAGCAGCCCAGTGTCTCCTCAGCTCCTTTTGGAGGCACTTGGCATTGCTGGGCAAGCAGAAACCTGAACACGTATGGCTCCTCTGTCTGCTCTGTCACCTTCCAACATGTGACATTGCTTATCCTCCATGGTCTCCTCTCCCATTCCTTTTGTCCTTGTACCTTTTCTCCTTTGCTCTCATGTTAGCTGGCTTTAGGAAAGAAGTACAAATAAACGCATGTTTCCAGACCACCAAGTGTAATGAGTGACTCTTTGTTTTTCCTCAGCACTTTATTGTATACCAAGGCGAGAGCATACAGCACCTTGTATTTTATCTTTATCTGTTTTCTTGTCTCTTTCCTCAGTAGACTGGGAGGTCAGGAATGGAGTCTTGCTTATATTTTTGTATCCCTAGTATCTGCAGTTTCTAGTATACAACAGGTACTCAGAAAATGCGTGCTGAATAATTAACTGAATGAGCAAATTGGCCTCAGTCTCCTCGTCTCTAAAATGGGGCTTTGGAGCCATGATGTCCAGCCCTCTATGCTTCTGTGATTGAGGAGAAAGTCCCACTAAGGGAATGGGGTGGCCCCTGGGGATACAGCAGCGGTGACATTTCTAGGAGGGAGTGGCCTCAGGATGCATCTCAGAAGCACCACCTATGCATGTCTTCCTGCCTCTGTTTTAGGGAGCAGTGTGTGCTCAGCCCTGCCCACCAGGAACATTCGGCCAGAACTGCAGCCAGGACTGTCCCTGCCACCATGGAGGGCAGTGTGATCATGTGACAGGACAGTGCCACTGCACAGCTGGGTACATGGGGGACAGGTAAGGATGGACAACAGCGATGCTCTCCTTGATGTTCCTATCGCTCCTTTTCACAGCAGCCCTGCAGAGAACAGCTGGGGTTTGCCAGCCCACAGCACTCTTAGTCCTTCTGCCAGGGAGATGTCATCAGCTCATCCCTCCTAGCCCTCAGCCTGCTCCATGCACCCCCTCCCCCAGCCCTGTGACCCAAGCCCTGAACTTGCACTGACTCACCTGGGAAGGAGGTGAGCACCTGCCACCCACAGTCTACTTTCTGCCCTACTAGAGGGAGGCAAAGGCACCAATAATGCAAAGCATCTGAGAGTGCAAACACAGTTCACACATTTGGCACAATTTCTTCTAGGAGTAAATTTTTATTCCTAATTTGAGTCCCACCAAAAGGATCCTGACATTAGCTTGCATCCTTTAAAGGCCTGTGGCCTGCGGGCAGACTTAACAAGGGCACCACGCCCTGGAATCAAACCAGCCCTCAGAGTGGATAACCCACAAAACATGTAGCTGAGGAACGACCGTAAGTGTGCATTTGCCGCGTAGGAAGGAGGATGTCATGACGATAGGGTGGGTGCTATGGAAGAGAGAGAGGGGCAACCACTAGTGTGTCCGACAGCGCGTGGGTCCCGAGCTGAAGAGGACGTTTGCCTATGGTCCTGGACCACGTCTCCTCCCTCTTGCTTAACCACACGTGTGCCTTCGGGCAGAGAGGGGAGCAGCGAAGAGGAGACTCACACCCCTTGCCTGGCTCTCTGGGATCCGTGTTTCATCTCTGGCTCTGGATTTTGTTACTCTGGCTGGACAAGGTGAGGCAAGAGGAACATTTGTTCACCATCCTTTAGCTTCTCCTTCCCAGGTGACATGATGAGGCAGGCTCGAGGCTAAATCAACCAATCGTTCCTGCCCACTGTGATGATGTAACTGGGTTCCTCTAACTCTCACTGGAGTCAGCCCCAAATCCCTAGTGATGTCTAGAAAAATGAGTTTCCATTTTTTGCCTTGGGCTTGTTGACCCTTGGGCCCAAAATCTTAAGCTAGATCTGATCTCTGGGCCGGTGTTCATCTTCACGGGCTTTCCAGGCTAAGAGCATGGGGTGCAGCATCTGGGGGTCCCTCCCTGACTCTGTCAGAGACTGGGTCTCTGGGGGCAGCGGAGGAGGGAAGACTGAACCGTCGAGCCCGCATTCCCATCCTCACCACCTCCCCCAGTAAGGAAATGCTCGAGATGAACTAGTAGGAACAGGGGTCAGAAGACCAAGAACCAGAACAGGACCCCTTTGTTTTTATCCGCTGGCACAGGAGGAAATGCAGCGCACCTGTCAGAGATGAGCAGGCCCGGGACTCCAGGGGGCTGATCTCAATACCCGTAGACCCTATGTCATTGACTCTCTCGATTTTCACTGCCAAGATATACCAAATGGAAAAATAATCTCTCTTCTTGTTGGGGCCTGCCCCATGATCCTGGGACAGAAAGAAATCCCAAAAGCTACAGGGCCCTCTTGCCAGCCTTGCCAATCACTACAGAGAGTTCAATGGGAGGGCTGGGTAGCATTTGGGTTTCCCACCTAAACAGGCCGCCTGGTGTTTAATGTTTTGTAAAATTGCCTCCATCAATTCTGTAGGTGACAGCTGCATTAACTCACCCCAAGTCATCTCGACCATATTAAAGTTGAGTGGGTGTAATAATGCAGGCCTCCCCGGATAGGCAGAATCCAGTGCAAATTAAACACGAAACGTAACGGGGGTTTTGCAGCTCATTTTGTAATTTAATTGAGCAATGTATCTGGTTGTTAATGGCAATATTGGACACATTAGATTGATATGTTGCAAAGGAAGGATGTTTAAGTAGAAAACTAATTCCTGCTGTGATTACCCTTCTGTTCCACAGGCCCTGTTATTAGCGTGCTTTGTGTAAAATTCATTAGCAGTCCTTGCTTGATCTCTAAATAAATAAGTTGTTTAAATTGTGAGTGGGAAAAAAAAATGAGGCTGATTATGTAAATGGATTAGGTTGTCAATATTTCATTTCCAGATTCTTTTTCTGGGGCTGTGGAGTCAGTCACTCCATAAATACGGCTGGGTGGGGAAGTGCCCTTCCGAGGGAGCTCACCGCCCAGGGCTCTGCGGATGGCAAGGAGCGGGAATGGTCCCGTGAAAGAGGAGTCAGGCGGTGTCTCCAGGCCCGGGTTTCTTCCCCTGATGTGCGCAATACCCGAGGAGAGCCACACCGAGGGGCTTCTGGGGGATTTCATTCTGAGGCTGAACAGGGGCCGGCCATTCAGAGAGTGATTTTCCAGCTCTTCCACACTCTGCTCCTCCCCTTCTGCCTCAGTTTCCCTCCTTGTGTCACCCATCCTCCTTCTCCTCCTTCCTGTCTTCTACCTTCCATTCCTTCTCCAGACATCCCTGCTTTCTTTCCTCTTCATCCTCCTCTTTTCTGTTCTCTTTCCCTTCAAGAGACCTCAGAAGGGCTAAAATGCAGCGAGAGTTGCAGGAGGACAGTCTGGGGTCCTCTCGGCCACTTGCAGGCTGTATGCGCTTGGGACAGTCACCTCACCCATCTGCACAGCCACATCCGCGACTCCAAAGTGAGACTGACGGAAACAGCTGCGGCTTCAGGGGCCTGAGGCCCGGCCTCGAGGCCTGAGCAGCTGGAAGCCCTTCTCTGGGTGGTGCCGGGGCTGTAGCCATCAGTGCCCCGGCGCCTCCATTCTGCCCGATTCCTCCTTTTGCCACAGTGGCTCTGACAAGACTAGGTGGCACCCTCCTGTGAGGGAAGTCCTCAAGGCTACTCCCCGGGCACCCTCCTCCTCCCCCATCATTGCGGGCACAGGCGGTAGAGGCAGAGACAGCCCAGCGTACAGCTGCCGAGGCTCAGGCCCGACACACCCGCTGCTCTCGGCGCCCACCGACTCAGCAGCTGGCCCCACGGCGTCACCCGCCCTCCCAGTAGGCGACCAGGCTCACCCAGACAGGGGCGTCCTGTGTGGGCAAGAACACTGCTTCGAACAAAACTTTCCCAGATTTAATAAAGATGCTGGAGCTGTTTCTTTTTAAACATCTTTTATTGCTTTTCCACCCCCTATACCCCCAATTCTTGTAGAAGACATATAAAAAACCAGGAAAATGGGAAAACATGAGCAATTAAAACACTTAGAATTCCTCAAGTCCACTCCATTTTGGAATTCCTCCCTTTGAGCTTTTCAACCCAGAATCTGAGACAGGTCAGCTAGGCTGTTAGAAGAGCTACAGAAAACAGCATTAAAGTAATAACTAATATTTCTTATTGAGCCCTTACCATGTTCAGGGCACTTTTCTGAATGTTTGCACACATGGCCTCATTTAATCTCAAACAGCTTGGTGAGATTGCGTGGTTATCCCATTTTGTGATGAGGAGGTGGCTTCAGAGCTGTGAGGTCAGTTCTCCACTCCCAGAGCTCCTGAAGCAGTGCTGGGACACAGAGAATCCAAAACTCCACAGGCCATTTCTGTTTGTCCCTGGGACACAGTTGTTCACCTCTTTTAGGCCAATGCCCCCAGGTTTACCCCTTAACTTGTCAGGATTCACCGCTGTGGCAATGGATTTGCATCCCCTGGAAAAGAGCCCTGGGCTGGGGCAAGGGGTGAGTATGGGACCAGGGAGAACATCCGGGAAGCCAGGCACTCAGCCATGCGGGTCACACCTCCCCGCAGAGGATCTACGCCGGCTCTGAGTTGATGAGTCAAATAATTGCCACTATGCTGGGAGCTCCACGTGCTAGGCCAGGACAGAGGCAGCACAAACGGAGCCCGGGCCTCCTCCTTGGGGGCTCACTCACTGGAGACAGACTCAGCCCTTCCTAAGGAAGAGGAAACAGGCCCTGTCGTGGAGGATTCTCCAGTCTGATGCAGGTGGATGACTCTTCACTGGGGAGATTCCACACCAGCAGAGGAGACACAGCACCCCGTATGAGAAAGGGGGATTGCACATCTGCCCCGAAGACTCAAAAAACAGAGACAATGAGTAGAAATTACCCCCATTTCATCAAATCTAAGATGCTACCAATTATAAGATGAATCATTTTCATATACATCTAAGAATAATAAACACTGATAATTAAACTGTGATATGCCATAAGTTATAAGTCTTAACTGATTTCAAAGATGTTAAAATGTATTTTAAAAACAGAAGATTTATTGTTTAATGGCTACAGTTTCAGTTGGGAAGATGAAAAGGTTCTGGGAATGCATGATGGTGATGGCTGCACAATACGAATGTACTTAGTGCCGCTGAATTGTATACTTAAAAATGGTTAAAATGGGATATTTTATGCTACATATATTTTATTGCAGTCAAAAAATGGGGGGAAAATCTCAAAGCCTATAATCAATGAAATATGATAGTGTAAATTCAGTACTGGGGGACCGAAGGGACTTGGTGTGAAGCAAGGAAGTGACAATGGTAACAAAACCACAGAATACTTCCTGGAGGAGGAGAGGGAAGGAGGGGAGAGAGAAGGAGGCTGTGGGGCATACTGGATGGATCTGGAAGGGCAGGTGAAGGTTGCAGCTTTAGCCCTGCTCTGCTCTCCTGCAGGTGCCAAGAGGAATGCCCCCTCGGGACCTTCGGCTTCCAGTGCTCACAGCGCTGTGACTGTCACAACGGGGGCCAGTGCTCACCTGCCACTGGCGCCTGCGAATGTGAGCCTGGCTACAAAGGTCCACGCTGCCAGGAGCGGCTGTGCCCTGAGGGCTGGCACGGCCTAGGCTGCACCTTGCCCTGCCCCTGTGATGCCGACACCACCATCAGGTAAGAGTGACCTGGGCACAGGGGTACGGTGGGCACTGGAGCATATGGGGCCTCTCAGGCCACGGACTCCTGCCTCTCACCTGGTCATCCAGGAGGCCAGTGAGAGAGCTGGGACCTCAGTGGTCACCTTTGCTAAACACTGATGAAAAGAAGGGAAATCCAAGGCCACACGACAGGACCAGGACCCAGGTCACCTGCCTCTGTCCACCACGCGTGGCTGCCAGCACTGAAAACGGGCCACCCTGAGAACCCTCCCGACAGGAGCAAGGAGGGAGCCTGGTGACCCTCAGGGGAGCAGAGTGGGGGTGGCACAGGGCCACCATCCTGGAGGACTGCGCCGTCGGGCCACAGGCTCTGGGGGCAGCACCCTGGAGAACATTTCCCCTCCTCGTTCTCCGCACCTAACAGGCCCTTCCCTACCCACAGTGGTCCAGAGACGGGACCGCCAGGACAGAAGCAGGCGCCTCAGCCACAGAGGCTGAGTACTAGGAGGGAACTTAGTAATCAGTCGGCTTGCCTAGGGCATGGAGAGGGCTGTCCGCACAGGCCCTGGCTAGGGCGGAGGGGCGGGAGAGGCAGAGGCCGGGCTTCTCGTCAGGGCCTTGGCTTGGGGCCAGCCTTTCTCTGCACTCTGTGCCCTTCGGGGTTTGTGGCTGAAGCTGGCCTCACCCCTACTTCCAGAGAGCCTGACTCTGGGAAGCGGAGAAGCCAGAGCTGCCCTGGGCCACCTCTCCCAGCTCCCTTCACTTCCGGTTTCATGTACCAGCTGGCACCACCCTCTGCTAATAAATGAGGTTATAGGCCCCAGATAAGTGTCTCCATGGCCTTTACGTGGCTGCCTCTTCTCTGGGTGGTGAAGGGCAGAGGAGTCTCCCTCTCCCCTCTTGCCTGCAGGACTGCTGAGGGATGGGCTGGCTGTGGGGGTCAGTGGGCACTGCTGCCGTTGGCAGGCTAGTCAGAGGCACCTCGGCTTTGCGACCCTGTTGCTGGGGCAGTTAGGATGGTGCCTTGGCCCCTCTTCATTTATAGCTTTTGGAAATGCAAAGCGCCCAAGAGGCTAAGGTCATTATAAGCAGAGGCATCTTAACAAGTGTTAGGGCTTAGGTGGAATCTGCCTCTGGTCCTCTGTCCCTGGAGCTGAGCGGCTAGGATGGTGCTGCCTGCAAGGGCAGAGGGCTGGGAAGGAGACTGGTGAGAGGGGACCCTGGAGCCAACAGAGCTGCATATGACCTGAGCACTCATTTTCTCAGTCATTCATTCAACAAACATTGAGTGCCTGCAGGTTGGATGGCAAAGAGGAAATAAAGGGTCCCTCAGCACCAGTCCAGCCTGCAGGAACTTGGGTCTGGAACACTCACACACACTGGGCATCTTCTACTGTATTTCTTCAGATACACCACCAGTAGTGAGGCACAGCTTTGCTTCATGTACCACTAAAAACAGAAAACACTATAAACTGAACCGTGACATAGCACTGATTGTATAGCACAGCCAGGATCAGAGATGTAAAAATGTAGCAGAAAGTGCATCTTAGAATTGATGAAATAAGTCCCAACATATATATACATATATACAAATATATAATGTGGGTCCCTACAAGTGCTCAAGTAACTGTGACCCAGGGCTATGTGCAGAAGGCACCATAGGAGAATGCTATGCTGGTTAGAGAAGGCTTCCTGGAGGAGGTGGCATTTGGGCTGGGTCTGGAGGGCAGAGTGAGCTCCAGGGCTCTAAACACAGGGTCCCACGTAGCTGGCAGGGACTAAACAGCTGCCTCCGATGGTTCCCTGGGTGGAGGACAGCACGAGGAGCCCCCACTCCCACGGGGAAGCCCAGGGAGGACCTTCCCAGGCACAGGAAGCAAGGCTGCCACTGAGGTCCAAAGTGGGAAGAGTCCCTGCCACAGAGTCGGACCAACCCTCCAATTAAAGAGCTATTGTTTTCCTCCCATGCCTGAGCAGCCGTGCCCTGCATAATTTATCCTTTCTCTGAAGGAGTCCTCAATGCATTATTAATCTGGAAGGACTCCCTCTTCTCCGTCGCTAATCTCAGCCCATCCAATATTGATGATTATTTGCTTTAGTGTCTTTAAAGCATGTCATGTTTCAGGGACTGGGAACCAGTAGCGCTTCTCGGGAGTGGGGACTCCGAGAGGGCCTGGCAGCCAGCTCCCTGCCCAGGCCCTCAGTGTCTGCGTGGCCGCCTCCTCACAGGGAGCTGTGTCACAGCCAGGGCTCCTTGGGGGCAGGAGCAGCCTGGCTTGTCCATCTCTGCAGCCTCAGCTTCGTATGGTGCCTGGCACAGAGTGGGCCTTCAGCAAAAAGAATCACTGAGTTCATCTTCAACAACTTATCCCTCTTGGTGGTTCTGCCCCTGAGCTGATGTTTGCCCTTTTTTTTTTTTTTTTTAACATTTTACCCCTTTGTCTTGGCATACGGCCCCGGTGGCAGAGCCCCCAGCACTCACAGAGTAGTTCAGTCTAAGTCAGGGTTTCCCATCCTCACCACTATTGGTGTTTGGGGCTGGGTAACCCTTTGCTGTGGGGAGCTGTCCTGTGGGTTGTGGGATGCTCAGCGAGATCCCTGGCTTCCACCCACTAGAGGCCAGTAGCAACACCCTGTCCCCGAGTTCTGATGACCAAAACTGCTTCCTGGGTCGGGGAGGCAAAACGGCCTGAGGTGAGAGCCTCCGGTCTGACTGAGCTCTCATGCGGCGCTTGGCTTGGTTCTCATGGACGCAGAGAACAGCTCTCCTCTCCGGGTGGACACAGGCCACTCCTCTCTTCCCATGAGCCTTTGTCCCATTATAGAGCCTTCTCTTGGGATCCAGGAAGAGCAGAGGGACGGCTCTACGACTCCTAATCCCAAGGCAGTTACGCTGCAGGTTCTGGGTGGGGACCAGGGCCCCTGAGTCCTGGCCTCATAACCCCCTCCGTCTGAGCAAGTGTCCTAATATGTTATACTTTCTCTCTCTATGCCTCAGTTTCCCAATCTGTTCATCACCTTTCATCAGCTTGGTGGGGGTAAAAGTTCTCTTGTGTCCACCCAACTCCACTAGAGGTGGAGCATGGGCTCCCCAGAAGCCTATCCTTTTTTCCCTCAGCTTCTGCAAGAACTTACAACAGGGCCCTGCCAGGACAGCTTGCTAGGCCTTGAGCATCTTTCCCAGGGAGGCAAAGTGCTCCCAACCCCCAACCAAAGAAACACTGCTCATCTCGCCTCTCCCTGCCCTGTGCTGCTCTGGAGAGGCTGCTTCAAAGAGGTCGAATCCATGCGCTCTGGGAAGGAAGAAGAAGCTGGCAGATTCCCCGACTCTTCAGTCCCTTTATAAACGCTTTGTAGCACACACAAAAAAACCACCCTCCTTCATAAAGGAATAACCTTGGGAAAGAGAGTGCCTGTGTGCCAGGCCTCTTCCATGTCCCCTCCACAATTGGATTGTCACAGACAAATTCTAGCAGTCATGATCGTGTATTACCTTTGAAAGATTTGATTTAGCCAACAGATGCAGCATTGATAGAAATCTCAGAGTAGCTAAAAAAAGAACCAGAAAAATCCACCCTGAAAAGTTCCCTGTATTGTTCAGCCTTCAGCTCCTATTAACTTGTGATTAATCTATGTCTGGGGAAAATGACAGAAAGGTGAGGAAAAAAACAGCAAACCGAACCAGCCTAAACACTGTGTGTGACTTCCGCCAGAGCCTAACCAGCAGTCACCGGCCCACCATGTGACCCAAGGAAATGGGGAGCAGGGAGCAGGGGATATGACAAGGTGCCTTGAGAATGGCGACCATAGTTCTCAGTCATACACGGCTCCCCACCCACTTTTCAAAGGGATTTGGGAATTTTTATAATAAATGACAAGCAATCCAACTAAAAAAATAGAGACCTTCTTTTTTAAAATAGAATTTTAGGGACATGAAAGGAAAGAGAAAGAAATGATTTCAGATTTGTTTTTGAGCTTTCTGGTTCTCAGAGTAAAAGTAAAATTGGCGCTGAGACGCACCCCTACGCCGTCCAAATGGGGGCCGCTGAGATGGAAGGTGGGCTGCGCAGGAGTACCTCGGCATCAGTGCCTGCTAGCGCCCTGCATGTCTAGTGCACTGCTCACAGGGTGGCCTTCCAGCCAGAGCCAGGCCACATCACGAGATAATCTATTGATGGGAAAGGCAGAAGGGTGCTGAGACCCTGTAGCATCTCTGGGGCCGGGCAGAGCTGACTGCCGCCACCAATCCTGCCAGGGCATCTCCTGGCCCAAGCAGGTCGGCCTCGGTGCCTGTGACTGAGCCGGTTCCCTGATCCTTAATCAAAACCTCAGAGGAGGCTCCGGAAGGTAGGAGCAGAGGAAGGCCATGCCGAAGGGCTCTCCCCAGAGTGTGGGGACACAGCGGAGTGCCCAATGACCATCTGGCTTGAGGGTCAGGACCACCAAATGGGGGCCCCCAGCCCCACTATTTCCCTGTATCGTGTGTGGCTCAGGGAGGAGTTTTTCTGGAACCGTGAAGGTCAGAAAATCTTTAAACACTCATCCCTTACGCACGTTTATTTTACATATTTACAATTTTTATTGTTTTATATCTGATTATAAATATAACAGGTGCTCTGTTTGGGAAAGTTAGAGAATACATAGAAATTTAAAGAAAAAGAACTCAGACTCTTATAATTTCTCAACCCAGAGGTGAGCACAAAAGCCATTTTGTTGTCATTTGTTCATTCTTCAACCATGTCTGGATACTTCTATATCACTTTTTTCATATTTTAGATTATGACTTTGTGTATAAATTTGCTTATTTGCCTTAACCTTGTATCGTTAAATAGTTTGGAAAACATCTGACTACTTCTCTAGCATTTCTTCATATGAATTGTCATAATTCACTTAACCAGTACCCTGTTGTCAGAGGTGGCATGAGGCAGTGGACAGAACATGGACAGGCCTGGGTTTGAATCTCAGCTGCTGCTGACTTAGCTGTGTGGCCTTAAGCAAGTCATGTAACCTCAGAGT